CATACATCATTTCTTTTGTTGTTTTGATTTATTTATCAAGAGAAAAGGCGAGAGAAAGAGAGAAAAAAAAAAGGAAAAATGAATGAAGTAAGATGTTCGTGATTGTCAAGGTTGGTTTATATTTATTTTCTTTGAGGTTTTGAATAATCATGATCATAATATTAAATTAATAAAACAAACAGATGGAATAACTGGATCGAAGAAAAACTTATTACCAATCAACATTCATCATCACAAGAAGTATAAAAATTTATTTATTAAGAAATAGAAAATTATTATTATTATTATTATTACATAATAGATAATAAATGAATATCATGAAGAATTAAGAATAAATTTAAAAAAAAATACAAATACAATGGAAAATATTATTCAACAAAGTCCAATTTTATCTCAATCGAATCAAGATTCACGATTAAATCGTTCATTAGAAACAAGTCAATTTGTTGCGGTTGCTGCATCTATTAATTTAAAAGTATAAAGTCTTTTGAAAATAATAGAATTTTTTTTCTTGTTATGAATTATGTACTTTTAAATATTATTGTTATAGAATCTGCTTTCTTATCAAGATGTTATGAATGCAATTGAACGTGATTATCATTTACATGAAGGACAAGAACGTGAAATAATTATGAAATTATGGTTAAAAGGACAAACAATGATTGCAATTTTACAACGTTTTAGATATTTATTACAAGATCTTAATATAGATAATAAAGATTTTTCTGAAGGATTAAAAGTTTGTATAAATAATATTCACAATAATTTATTCAATATTTACAAAAAAAAAAAAAGATTTCTATTAATACATATTTAACTATTGTTTATTCAAAATATGATTAGATTTTTTTCTGCTACATAAAACATATTCATATTTTCTTAAACAAAAAAAAAGGGTTATAACTAATATGTTTTTATGTATTCGAAATACATATATATATATTTTTTTTGTTGTACTGTTATTTTGAAGTATGTGTATGGGAATGAGATTTTATTTCTACATATTGTTATTGCATTCTTTAAACACTTGTAAGTTATCTTTCTCAGACGGCTATTCTATTTATATGTAATAAGTATCTTGTTGATATTTTTTTCTTTTTGATCTAGAGATTGATTACATTTGAATTGTTTTTTTTTGTTTTTATTTAGCAAATACGTGAAAAAGTAAATTATGCTCATCGTGATGTATATTATCTTCAAGAAAAAAACCTTATACTTGAAAATCAAAATAATTTTCTTGAAAATGAATTTAAACGACAATTAGATAAAATAGTTGAAGAAAAAAATGAACATATTAATCGACTTATACATATTATTGATCAAACATATACACGATCAACTCAAATAAATAATCATATTAATGATGAATATTATTCATCAAGTAAATAAATAAATAAATTTGATTATATTCTAAAAGTTAAAACAATAGACATCAAATATTTTATTAGTAGAAAAAAAAATCTAATGATCATATTTTTTTTTGCTTTCCTATGAAACCTTTTTACTATTCAACAAAATGGATTCTATATGTAATTGAGAATAAGAATAAGAATAAGTATATTTTATGTATACGTTATAATAATGAAAAATTCAAAGTCTCATCTAAATTTTAATCAAGGTATGAATGAAGTATACTTTTACATATCTCATTATACAAAATAAACTAACCTTGTGATTACTATTGATCAAGGTAATTTCGATTAATTGGAGGATTTTTCCTACAGTTAACAAACTTCAAATATAATCAAATTATAACAATAGAAACAAGGCTAATTTGATATCGAATTTTGTTTTTTTTTCGATTAGTAAATTCTTTATTAGAGCTCATCGGATTAATCTCGAACTCGAGATTTTTACTATTGTTTGATTCTGTCATTACATTTCAAAATATATTTTGTAAACTTTTTTTATAATTGTTAAAAACAAAATTTCTCTTTTTTTATTTTATTGTTTATAGTTTTGATTGGAATATCTATATGTTTGATTTCTTATAGTCATATATACTAGCAGTAAGATTAAATCTAAAAACCTATTGCAGATTTGAAGTAAATCTTATAATAAACGTTAAGATTAATCAAAAAATAAAAATTCAATTTCTTGTTTTACAAAAATTATGCTTCTGCATAAGAACATACATCAATTAGTTAAATTCTCGTATTTAGAATTTTGTTTAAGAATAAAGCAATGAAATAAAATAGGTTAAATATGAGTCAAAACTGTACAACATTTATTAATGTCCATTTCAGAGTTAAATGGCCGTGGGCATTTTTTGAATAACTTTTGATAGGAACGAGATAGAAATCTCCAATTTTCACTGTTGGAAAGAACAGATGAAGTCGCATCGAACTATAAAGATTTTTTTTAACTATTTTCCTATAGGTTTAGTCAAAAGTTTTCAAAGAATTGCTTTTTTCTCCTATGTTAAAAAAGTGGCTTTTCTATCAAAATACAACAAAAATTTACATTTTTCGATTATTTTGTTGCAAAAAAAAATGAGGTGGTAAATTGTGTTCCGATGGTTTACATATCATACTGGTAGTAGTTAGGAACATCGTCTTGATATAGTTTTGTAGCTCTTCCTTTGGCCATTCTAGAGCACTCCTGAAAAATCAATAAATTGATATCATGACCATGAGAAGCATGCTGTTTTTCTTGAAGTTTTATATAAAACCTATAGGAAAGTAGTTAGAAAAATCTTTCTATATATAATTCGATGCGTCTTCATCTGCTCTTTCCAACGGTGAAAACCGGAGATCTCTAATTCGTTCCTATCAAAAGTTATTCAAAAAATGTTCACGTCCATTTAACTCTGAAATGGACATTAGTTACGTGTAATAATAATAATGTCGTAGTTGATGGTTTCTTCTATTGTCTACTTTTTATTGTTGTTTATCGAATAACAAAGAAGATATATCTTTAGTAAAAACTATCGTATATCGAACTTCTCAACTATTATTATAATTAGTTGTACGGATTCGTCTGAGGTTAAACAATAAGATCGAATGAGACAGTTATTGCTTAAGTTCATTTACTAACGAAAGAAATCCTTCAATGAATTAAACACTAAATATATCCCAACTATAGTTTTGATAATGGACATAAGAAGAGAAGAAAAAAAAAATTCTCGGTTAGAATTAAAGATCATTATTAAACGGAGAATGTTATATTCTTACGGTAGGCTTGTAATTCAATATCGTAATTCCCT